ATACAAAGTATAGAAACTCTAAATTAATTTCTTCAGTCTTTTCTCCATCCATGCTCAACCAGGGCTAGCAAAGTCAGAAAAAATGGCAATGTTTTCCTGAAGGGAGGAATTAGCCCGCTGCTCTGCCATGCCCCTGGAAAAGCCCACAGAAGGGAAGCAGAGTTGCACAGAAAACTGCAGGAGGCAGATGCAGACTTTTGCTCTGAGCAGAAGGGTTTGAGGTTTCTCAGAAAACACAAGTAGCAAATCCCCTAAGCCCTGTGATTTCTCAGGCATGTGCCCTCGCCGTCGGCACCTCGCGGCTACGTGTACCCAGAGTACCTTGCAGAGAGGTTTCACCCCGGGTGAGCTGAGATTCCCACTGGAGTGCTGCCAGCCGAGGGGGGAGGATGGAGCACGCTGGATCACCACACAAAATGTCTGCCCTGCTCGTGTGCAGTCTCTTTGGCCCGCAGCCTTTTGGCAAGCCCCACCTGCCCTTTTTTCCTTTTTTTTTTTTTTCCCTTCTCCTAGCTGAACTGGCGGGGAGAGAGGAGGCTGCAGCTCCTTTCTGTCCCTGCAGCCTTCCTGTCTGGCTGGACACAGATGTATATTTAAATATGGATTCTGCAAGGCACAAGTCATGCTTGCGGGAAGAGCGTGGAGCAGGAAGATGCTGCAATCCATAGGTGGGCTGCTGTGGTTGGGCTGCTGTCCTGTGCAAGGATGAAATAACAGTAACAACTAACAACATAACTGTGTTCAACCTCGGTTGTTTAGAAAGAAGATTTTGGTACATTTTAACAATTAATTATTTGTCCAGGAGGCAGCTACTGCATTTTAAAGCGTCCCATCCACATACCTCGCCCTCTGCGAGCTCATTAATGCTCGAGTTGTGTCACCTCACACTAACCTGGTGGCTGTTGATTGAGTCCCGTGACAGCTGTTTGCAGAGGTTTGCCCTGCTCCCTGCCAGCAGCCTGCCTTTCTTCTCCAAATTGCCTCTCGGTTCCAGACGGGCTTCAGAATGTCTGAGTGAATGCTATCCTGGGCAAAACGGTTGGGTTTCTAGGAGTAATGGCTAAGGCGTGACGGATAACATCCTGCAAAACCCCAGGAGCGCACATGCAGCGTGGAGGAGGCTGGGGTTTTACAGCTTTAAGGTGTTAGTTGGTCAAGGTGAACCCTGGACCGAGCCCATAAACATTTAAGTCCTAGAACAAATGTTTGGGGTTGTACAAACATGTTAATGACCTCCAGTTAATTGGCAAGCAGTTACCTTGAGGTAAAAATAGCTTCCCCATTGCTGAGCAGTCACAGAGTGCATGTTCCCCCATGAACATTTGCAGATCACTAAAATTTTCGGCTGAGGAGCCTTGTCCAATTTGCCTTCTGGATCCTGGCAGGTTTGTGATCAAAAGTTTTTTCGTCCACAGCAGCAATTGCTGTTTGTTTGTTGCACAGACTCAGCAAACAGGGCTGTGTGCCAGAGCTAATTTTCATGCTGCCCTTTAATAAAGTTCTGCAGTTCATAATGCAGTGAAAAAATAAGATAATATTGACTGGCAAAAGCACGTGGTTCAGCAAGGGAATGTACCTGCTGTGTGCACTATAATGGAACTATTGGTGAAAGCTAGATAAGTATTTTTAACTTGAAGACAGGTTGGCAGGCTAGAATGTGTCTCCTACTGAATTTTGCATCTTTCTGATATTTTGCATGACAAAGACACACAACTGGACTGATTTCATTAGATGTGTATTACAGCTGAGAACCAAGAAGCAAAGTCCTGCCTGTTCCCAACACAGCACTTGGGACTACCAAGTGAGACCAGCAGGCAGGTGTTTGACCTGTTGCCTCTCTGCTGTAATGAAAACCTGTAGAAGTCAGTAACATCTTTTCATGAGGTCTCTGGTCCATGGAAACCCATCAGCTTCTGTCAGAACTTGGATCAAGTCCTTGCTTAATCCTCCACGATACTTAGGAAAAAAAAGGCCTGGATCTTCTTGATCTGTAACTAAACCACGCCTGGGTTTCTTTCCTGGAAGAGATTATCACAGCATTTCTAGGAAGGCAAAGCTGGGCACACATGAATGAGTGGAGTCTGCCATTGAGCTCCTGTGACTCTGGGGCTCATGGTGGCCAAGATGAGCTGGCACGTGGTGCAGGGTGGTTCCAGATGGAGCCACATCTGATCTGTGTGCACCATGGCAACCTGTGGCAGGGGGTGAGATGCTGTGCACTCTCAACCTGCCCCTGGTCATCCCTCTTTCCAGGAAGTGTGATGTTGTGCTGAGGAGGAAGGAAGCAGGTGATGCTGGATGCCTCAAGAGAGGCAAGGCCACTGAGCCAGGATGTCTTGCATCTGCACAGATTTGTGTGATGTTCCTCTGGATGCTGCAGTGTTGCGGAGGGTCAGTCCACAAAAATCTTTCCAAAGCAGCTGTCGGTCCCTGCCTTGTGTCCTGAAGGAGTGGCAGATGGAAAACAAAACCGGCAAAGTGCATTTCACAATTCTGGCAGCAGTTCTCGGCAAACAGAGGAACCGCAATGATGGATTGCTCTCAGATTGCTCTCCTTGTGCAGCCTAGCTTTGAAACTTTGGTGTTGTTTTGAGTCTTGAAGGGGCTCCTGGTCCCTCAGCTGGCTCCTGTGGCCTTCCATTTGGTATCTTCAGGTGGTTCAAGCAAGAGGAGCTGTAATGGGTGCATATACCAGAGCTTTCCAGGAAACATTCAGATACAAGTACAGCTCTGTTCTCTGTAGCTGCCTTGAATTAACGTTCTGTGCCTGTAGTGGCAGACAAATTTGCTGGCAAACATTTTGAAAAAAAAAGAAGAAAAAAAAAGGCATTGATCCAGAAAGTCACTGTGCACAAACTAAGCTTAGTATAAATGAGTACACCTGTGCTTGACGCTGGGCACGTGATGAATGCTCTGCTAGATCCCGGCCAAAATAAATTTAAAATAAATATGGGAGCGTACTGGTGGAAAATGAATGCTGGTCTTGTAAGTGGGAATGCATGCAGCAGAAATAGGAGCCTCCTGCTCCGCGTGTCAGCCGGGGATATCCAGCAGGGAAGGTCACGTGCGCTCCTTTCGAGCTCACCAGCAGAGCTGGTGAAAACAGGTTTTGATTTGAATGAGTTATGACCCATTGAAAATGGCATCATGCGTAACCACAGTAAATTGTCATAATGAGATCACGAGGCTGGAGAAGTGAGCGGCGAGGAAAGAGGCCTCATTCCACCAGTGCACACAGCTGACAGCCCTGGGCTGCAAACCGCGGCCGGGGGGCACGGTCCTACTCCCTCCTTGGTTTGGTGACAGCACCAGAGGTTGCACAGCCAGGCAAAAACTCATTAGAAGTTCTGAGTTAAAAAGGAGGAAAAAAAGCTAAAGTTCGTATGGCTTTGCATTTGGTCTTGTCCAGGCTGACCGAGGGGACTGGGATAATGCAAATAGTGGAGAAACACGAATACAATAAGTGCTTCCATGTTTACTGAGGCTTAGCTTGGTTGTTTCTAAATCATGTTGCAGTAGGAGGGGAGGCTTTGGTGATCAGGGCAGAGCACTACAGAGTTGAAAGGAAATTCTTCTGGAAGCACAATAAAGCTGTGTTCACTTGGTATATCCCTGGGCTTGCAGCTCTGTCAGGCCAGGCCTGCCTGGACCCTGCTCACGTGCAACTGCCCTGGGCTGCCCAGCTGTGGATGTTGCAGGATCATCACTGGCTTTTCTATTTTCATAGAAAAAAAATAGAGGCAAAATCTAAGACTACAGCAAGTTTGATGCACTTAAAACTTTACCAAATACTTGGACAACATAAGTAGCACAGCTCTTGCCTTCCAGGAGTTTTGTGGGTGGACTTTGGGAAAGAACTCCTTTTCATTCCTCCCGGTAGAGCGTTGTTTGTGTGGGGCCATTAGCAGCTCAGGGGACTGGAAGAAACACACTTCCAACTCATTCTGTTTCTCATCTCAAGCTATCAAGTGCACATGTCCGTAGAGGCCCGTTGCAAAACATGGTGCATATGACCTAACCACATCCTCCCACTGTGCCCAAGGTGGAGCGCAGAGGTGCGTTGGTGCAGGACCTGTTTCCCTTGTCTCGTGCCTCCAGGCAAAGAGGGTTGCGGGCCATGTGGTTGCCACTTCTCCTAGTCTTGCACCCTTCCGTCTCCTCCTTCTATCAAGCTTTGCATGCAGATATCCATGCCCCTGAGCTATGGAGACAGTTCAGGCTCATGCAGATGCACATCACCTTCCTGACTCATATCATTTACTCACAGGGTTTTTAGCATGACTGAATTCGTAGCCTGAGTCCATGGATTGAGAAACACCCCAGTTCAGTGCTGTTCCATAGAGTGCTTGGTCCTTAACAAGTTAACCCTTGGCCGTGGGGTTGTGCTTGCATTTACCTGAGATACACGGTCTGAATAGCATGTGGAAACCTAAGCCATTCCCAGGACCCCAAATCTTCCATTGTGGGCGGCTGAATCCAGGTTCCTCTGCTCTTGCATCAGGCATGAGCCTTGGGGCCGGTCTGGAGAGGACTCATTTTGTTTTCCTGGTGTTGGCTCGCTGACATTGCTGCAAGGACAGCCGAAACAGATGGAGACCAGCCAAGCTGAAGAGACAGTGGGGAAATGTGTCCCTGCATACACTTAAGAGCAAAGCACAGGGAGCACTCAGGCTTTCCTGGTGCTGGTGTACCAGAGAAGTCTCCCTAGAGCTGATCCAGCAGGCATTTCTGCATGCCAGAGCCATGGATGAATGTGCCAACACTGCCCATGCTGCCACACAGGTGCAGCTGTGGGCAACCAAGATTTTCCAGTTGGTACCTGCTTTGTAGCTAAGGAGAACCAAGAATGAAAATGCTTGTGTGAAATACTTTCTGAATTTACTGCTTAAGGTCATTTGTTTTGTGTCATCTACTGAGTAGAAGTCCTGAGTTTTCATTCTCTAGTTTCAGCACTGCATAAACCCCTACTAACACGGCTCATTTTTCTAATACCCATGTAGGAGAAGAATTTGGACTGGTTCCCTCGGATGAGAGCCATGTCCCTGGTTAGCAATGAAGGCGACAGTGAGCAGAACGAAATCAGGAACCTGCAAGAGAGGCTGGAGTCAACCATGAGCCTTGTGAAACAACTTTCCAGTCAGCTCGCTGAGCTCAAGGAACAGGTAGGTGCCCTGCCATGGGTAGCAATGTGGGCATGTGTGGGTGAACGTGCTCCCTTTCATCCGGTCACAGTCAGGACACTGTTACAAAAGAGACTTTTGTCTTAGAAAGGTTTTTTTCTGTCCTTCCAGTGAGCTTTCTGAGTAGGTACACTGATACAGGTCTGGAATGAAATTGTACTCTATTAGCAACAACAGAGAACAGGTAAGGAGAAAAGCCAAGGGGGAATTAGTTATGAAATCCTGCTGGTGGGTATGCAAGGACAGAGGGAAAACCGCCAGAGCGATGAAGGGCTGCGCATGTGGAGGTGCTGCACAACCCGGCACTGAGATCGGCGCAGTGTCAGGAATAGCTGCATACTGATGGGAGCCAGGAGAAAAGCCCTCTGTGTCCCACACTTGGATTTTTTCCCCCACTAAGAGTATCAACAGTGCTGTTGTGAAAACAATTTGACCAGCCTGTTGCTTTGCTTGTGTCACCCTTGTCTTGGTGCCCCTCCTCGGGCTCCCCATTCTCTCAAGTATGGAGCACAAGCTGCTGGCCCCCCTTAAAGCCCAGTTCCTGCCTAAACCCCCTGCCATGTTTGCTCTCGCTTCAGGATCAAAAGGCCATCTCCCTTTTTTGCTACAGATGCTGTTCACCTCTGGTTTGCTCATTACAGTTTCAGAAAAGCATCTTTGTGTTTTCTTTATGGGAAGCACTTCAGTGACATCAACAGAATTATCTAATTATCCCCCTTCAAATCCCTCCTTAAAACTTTTTCCCTGTGAAAAAGTCGACAAAGGTTTAGACTGGATGTGCTGAGACCATTGCTTATTGTGCTTACCCACACTATCCTGGTGGGATTTTTTCATCCCCCTCTGGCTGAATCTGTTCTCTCCTGGCTTAAATTTAAACTCTGTGTGGCTGGGACCATCTTTTAATTCCGTGATTGTACAGCACCAAGTGCAAATGCTGACCCTCTGCAGGGTTACACAGCACAATAGCAGTGCAAATAATACACTGCAAGACCTGCGGGGGGATAAGAATAATGTACAAATGAGAATAAAATGTCCATACTTTGCAGGAAACAGATCTCCCACTTCAAAGACATCTCCTACTTGTAATTTTCAATGCTGAAGAAAAGAATTCCACTCCCTGTTGTTTTGCTTATATGTATCTTACTCTGTGACTGCTAAATAATAGTAAAAAGAAAAAAAAGAAAATCTCAACTCGTCTCTCTCTGCCTTTCCACCTTAGATGACAGAACAAAGGAAGAATAAGCAGAGGCTGGGCTTTCTTGGATCAAACACACCCCATGTGAATCATCACATGCCACCACCCTGATACCACGGGGAGAAGCCGTGACTAGCCTTTCATCAGTATTCCCGCTTTATTATAGAATAAAAAAACTGAGATTGAGAGGAGTGAACAGTGCCTATTGTTGCAAAGTTAAAAACAACCAAGTGCCAAGATGTTAAGTGGTTTAGCTCTGGGAACAATTTGTAGCTGTTTTTCATGGTTGAAAGGGACCACAACCTAGAATGTGAGAGATACAAGGGAGCTCGTTTGTATTCTTCGACTCGACGGCTTCGGTGGTGGCTGCGACGGAGGTTGGGCAGCGTTTGGCTGCATCCTGGGAGCTGATTTCTCCCTAAAGCACTGGGATAACGGAGCTGAGCAGAAGAAGGAGAGATGTTTATTAACACAAATACGAGAGCCTGGATCAGATTCAATAGGTTGTCTCTGGCTTATTTGCCAAATAGCAACATTAGTCATATTTGCTTGGCATTTACTATTTTTTAATTACCATAAATATGTCTGTCGGGTGAGCAATAATGTTGCTTCAAGTAACTTCTACTTGGAGGGAAAGGGGAGAAGCCTCAAAAGACTGGAGGAAAAAAAAAAAAGAAAAAATAGAAAAAGAGTTGCAAAGAGAAACATTAACGCTTTTGAATTTTAGCTGTCACCATGCAATTTCTTATTTATAACATGGAGCACAATGGATCTACAGCTGTGGGAATGTTATGCACATAACACTGACAACATAACTGGAAGTGATTTCTTTCTCCTGGCTTCACATGTTTTTGATTAATGTGGCCATGAGATTTCACATACAGAGGAGTTAAACTGTGTTTTAAATTCAAGTTCCAATGGAGGATTCAGGACAAAAAAAAAAAATATACTTGTAGTTTGAAGTGTGTATGGGATTTTATTTTTTTAAAAAAGCTTAGAAATATCTTTCTGTATGGAGCTGTAATGGTGTCAATTACCTTCCATAAACTCATCTTCAGTGAGAGTTGACTTGAGTAAATAAGCACCGTATTCTGCCAGCTTTTCTTCTGAGCTAAAGATCATGGGCTTATGCTTTTGCTTGCCCTCCTTGCTTTTAAGGGCTGGCAGGCCTGGCCTGGCTGGTGGGGGACAGGGGGGCAGTATCAGAGGAGCTCCTTCCAGCTCTGGGCTCTATGAAAGGCAGCAACCAAATCACTTGTGCAGGTTTTTGCTGTATCTTGTATTTCTTGGGATGGCTTAAAAGAAAAGTTACAGGGTTTCCACAGAGCCTCAGAGGGCTCTTGTGTCCTTTAGGAGAAGACTTTTTGTGGCACAAATGGGAATTGTGTTCTCAGTTCACTTTCATTTTCAGTGGGTTTTGGTTACCAGATTGTCTTGGTGCATTTGAAAATGCACCTCTGTTACATGGAGTTGCTATTTAAACCAAAATCTTTTTGCAGTGATTTTTCCTCTATAACCTTTTCATTTTGTTATAAATGCCATTTTGATCAAAGGTGAAAATATTGGCTCCAATATTCCCAGTTTCTCCTTGTAGAAATGCTGTTTTCTTATTTAAGGCACAATTCAAACCAGCAGACGTAGAGTAAAGGGAAGGAAGGGGCATTTCACTCTCTTTATCCCAAATTCAAACCTATTCTTGAAGCTTTTTTCTTTTTTTTTTTTTTTGTGGCAATGATATGGCTGAGATAAAAATAATATACTTTAGGGTCTGATTCTTCTACCATTGAAACATTTCCCGTTGTTTTCAATTGTGTCCTTCAAAAATATCAGAAATGGCACAAGGCCAGTGAAAGTGAGTGGTGGTAGACTGAATTTTCTTCCACTCCTCTGCTGATGGGCTCACAGCCTGGCTGCTGCCAGGCATCAGCTGCTCCCCAGGCCAGAGGGAGTGTGTGGAGACAGCAGGAGGTGGGTGGCACTGGTCGGTGCCATGTCTTTACCTCTGAGGCATGAGTAGATGTGGCTGTGGCGTGGTGAGCTGGTGGTAGGGAAGCTGCTAGGTCAAAGGAGAGAACAGAAAAGCAGCTGTCTTCAGTATTTTAGGGATAAATCTTGGAGTGTGCCTTTCCTTCACGCTTGCTGTGTATGAGGTCTTGATGCTACTGCTCCGGCATCGCTTTGGTGGGAAAAACCCCTTCCATGAGCCTCGCTGGCCAGTGAGGATGGGGCTTCATGTGGTGTTTAGCACCCAGGGGCTTGCAGTGAATTAATTTTGGGAGTTTGCATCAGCCACAACTGTAACCAGCCACTGGTGTAACATACAACCCTACCTGCCTCTGACTAGACCTGCTGTACGTCACAAAGCCAAAGGAGTTGCCCACAAACGTAAAGTCAGCACTAAGTTGCTGAAGACTCAGACCCTGCAGCTGTATCAGTTCAAATTAATTTATGCAGTTCACCAGATCTAGTCACAGCTTCTGTTGCAACAGCAATTTCCTCTTCCTCACACGTGTGGTTATTAGAGGCATATAAAGCACAGTTCAATTATAAGATAAATTAAGCTATCATTATTTATTGAAGGGGGTGGGTGGTTGGCTAATACTGGAATTGGTTGGCACTTTTCTTGTTTACACTCAGAAAAAGCAGCTGTGCCACTGCACACCAAGGGAGGTTTCTGCTGCTGGAGCTGGGAAAACTTGAGGCTCGATGGATTTGTGCCCTGAGCTCAGGCCTGCAGTTGGGTGCTGCTGGTGCTCTCTCTGTCCTGCACCCCAAAGGATGTCTCCTAAGGCTCCAGAGCACAAGTACTGCTCCTCAGAAGGGAGAGCTGCAGCATCAAAAAGAAAGAGCTGACAGATATTGGCTTGCCTTTGCCACGGTGCCTTCCCAGTGTCGATAGCTTTCCAAGAGAGACCTCTGTAATCAGTGACAGTAGGTGATGCTACTTGCACAGATTGTATATATATTTCACTGAGAGTTTTGGCATTTTTGCTGTTTCTGTCAAAACTGCCCTGCTCTCATCCATGTGAGCGATCTGTACACTCACATGGGGTAACTTAAACAGGAGGCTGCTTGTGTGGGTAGTAGTTGCAGGGCCAGATCCAAGATTTAAAGGTTGTGAAACATCCCATCAATGAGTTTATAACAAAAAAACATTGTTTTATACATATATTTATATGTATATCTTTGTTTAATGCAGCTGGGGTATCCTCTTCTTAGGCAGGCATCATTTACCTTACCTATTTATATGAAATGATTGCAAAAGTTAAAACATCTAAGAGCTTTTAATGCCTTAGAGGGATTTATAATTATAAGCTCCTTGACAATTAAAATCTACTTAAGTAAATATGTCCATGGCTGCTGAATGTAACTTTTAATAAAGTGTGTCATTTTATATATGTCTGTCTCACTTATTTTTGGTACTGAAGTGGGGGAAATGTGTGTTCTGAATTGAAGACTGCTGGGAAACCCAGGCTGGTGGTCTTGGATGGGGCACCAGGCGTGCATCTGTTTCTTGAGATGGCATCAATGCAGTCCTGAGTGGATGGAGGCTGAACCCAGCAGTGAAAGGAAGGATTTATTTTATTTCAGGCGTAAATTGTTCTGTTCATGATGGGTCGGATTGCTATTTTTTGCCCTTTTTTTTTCTTTTTTTTTCATGTTTTCAGTGTAACTCTGTCAAGTAGCACATTTAGAGAGAGACCCCGAGGGCTTTCCCCTCTCTTCTGGGTGAAAGGATTGAGGAAGGAAGGCAAACAGCCTAAAATCACTGTCTCGCTCAACTCAGGCTGAGGAAATCTGTGGTCTTGTGAAAAAAAGAAGTGCCCTACAAGCCTGTGGCAGGTAAAGTACAACATACAAGTCCTTTTTTGCCTTTTTTCCCAGCTGTGTTTATCACAAAAAGTCAGTATTTATGAGGATGAGAATGAGGACTCTTCTTAGGGAGAAAAAGCCTGCTAATTAATTAATAAGAAAAATCCTATTAAATAGAGCATGCTGTTTCTCCTGTGCACTTGTTATACCAACTTGCTGTAGCCTTGAGTAGAATTAGCTTTCTTTTCTATTCTCTGGTATGAGTTTAAGGTTAAATGGAAAGGAGCTGCTTGCTACTAGGTTTATTAGATGGTTCTGCAAAAAGGATATCCTAAGAGAATCTTGGGTTTCATGCAGCTTTCAACCCAAGATCATAGTCGTATTTAAAAACAAAAAGCCCCCAAACCAGCATTAAGCTCCTAAGCCCAAATGGGAGCAGTTTTGCATGCAGGCCTGAGAACCTAATGCCAGGGCTCTTCTTTTTTTTTAAAAAAAAAAAAAATTGTTTTCCCCAAAGGTACATTTTAATTCAAGAGGCATTTCAGGGAGGAAACATCTCCCTTGGCACTGTCTGCGCAGACATCAGCAGGCTCATGGTGCGGCCTGCAAGTGAATTCAGCTCCTCCATTTCCACTGCTATGACAAAAGCATCTGTAGACAAGGATGTTTCCTTTGGAAAGGGTGTGCTTGTTTTTTGGGGAGAGCTGCCAGGTTTATTTTTAAGGGGAGAAAACTGAGATTTAGGGCTGCTAACCTCGCTGCTGTCCTGGGATGCCCGTAGGAGCGACCAGCAGTGTGACTCCTGTTTGCAGGTGCCCATTCTGAATGTCCCATATTTGCACAAAATCACTCAAAAAATGACTCAAAAGAAACTTGGAGCTGCAGGGATTTTAAATGGGGAGTAGTGTATTGCTATCATCAGCTCACACTTGCCCGCTCTATTTATGTGCTGCACTTTTTTAGTTCGAAAAGCAGAAAGCTGCAAGGCACAAGACAAATAGCCTTTATAACTTCACTATTTCAATGTGTTTCTCTTGCTGCAAACAGCCAACAGTTACCCTTTTTATTTCTACAGTAGGTTTCTTACTCCTTGACACCCATCTCCATGTCTCCACCTTTGTCTGCTGCCACTCAGGCAAGGTGAGACCTGGGCATGTCCAGAACCACCTGAGAAGCCAAATCAATAAGCTAATTGTGTAGGAGCATGGTCAAACTAGCAGTTTCTCATCCCTATGACTTAATAACTGTTTAAATGTTGTAGATCATTGACGTGATATCTGACTTGCTTACAAGCAGTAGGTTTTTCAAACAGCCCTTATTGTGGTAAATTACTGCACGATCTTCACCCCCTTGGCTGGAGTTTGAAGCCATCTATAGCCTGTTAAACTAACTGCGAGGATGGCAAGGCTGATAGGAAGTGATGAATGTCTTCTCTTCCAAATTTAACTGAATCTGCTGGAATAGAACTGTGCCCTGGTGGTGGGAGCCAGCTGACATCCTGCAGTGGCTTGTGGTGGACAAGGGCACTGTTGCAGCCATCCTGTTGCCTTGAGAAGCAGGGAGCAGGCCTACTGCCATGGCCAGCAGCAGGGAGCAGCCATGTGGCCTTTGCCAAGGCAATACATGCCCCTGTGCAAGGCTGTGGGGTCAACAGAGCCATTGCTATGCATGGGGCCTGTGCCTGCAATTCCCTCTGGATGGCAAGAGCAGTGTGGGGATCCAGTTACAGCCCAAAGGCTCCAATTCCCTTTATAAAATACTCCCTTCTGATCCCCAAAGTCTGCAATGTGCTCTAAAGGCTTTGTTCCCAGTAAAGCTGCCACAAAAACCAAGGACTCTGGCACATCATCATCATTTCTTGTAGTGGCCTTCAGCTGGGTTATGTTGACCTGAATTTCACAATCTTCTCCTAGGAGCACTTGCTCCCTTACCAAAGGTATAAGGGTATATTCCCTTGCTCTTTCTTTGCCAACATTATGGCATGAAACACCCGGGAACTGTTGTTCTGAACCTGGACACTGTTTGTAGAGACCCACAGTTGTGTTCAGCAGAGCACAGGGTAACTCTGAAAGGGGGTTTAAAAAAAATTCATTTTCAGTCTTGAGTTAGTGTTGGATGACAGAATTTGGCTCAGAGTTTGTATTATTTTTTTTTCAAGTCAGCTTTTGCTGGCGCTGGGGTTGGTTCCGGCCCATTTGCGGCCCAGCAGGGAGCTGTAGCAGCGGCTTTAACTGGCACGAGAGTTTCCACCCTGATTTGATAAAGCCAGCAGAATTCTCAGTGCCTCCAAAAAGCCCTCCCAAACCCTTCATATTTCTGCTTTAGGAGCTGAGGGTGTTTTTGTCTTATGTGTGACCGTGTGTGGTTCGCACACACGCAACTCAATCCGAGGGTATTTGGGAACACTGGCTCGCAGGAGTACGGGTGGGTTGGCTGCCGCCCTAAACAAGCAAAGCTGGTGTGAGCGCCGCCGTCCCATGTGAAATGCAGATTTTTTTCTGCCTGTGGCAGGACTTTGCTGCTGAAAAAGAGGAGTCAAGAGAGGAGAGTGTGGTCCCTGGGGCTGTCACGCCTTCCCCATGCAAGTGTAAATGTCTATCCAGGTCCCTGATTGCTCAGCTGGGATGTGGGAAGATGCTGGCAGGTTATCATGCACCTAGACTCTATCTGTGTTACAGATAGAAGTTACTGTGCACAGAAAGAAAGGGAAGGAAGGAGATTTCAAGGGAAAGTCACAAGGGTACAAGAAAATGTTGTCAGTGATGGTGATTTTACTGGTCGGATTTATTAAAAGTTTTAATTTTGAGTTATTGTGGAGAGTTAGTGCTACCAGAAGTTGCCTGTCTGCATCTTTGTCCATCTTGGGTGTCTTTTCAGAAGGAAGGATTTAGCCAGAAGCTCCTGGTTCAATGAAAAGTCTGTTGCTCAGGGTCCTTGGTCTGTGAAATCTGGGGTTTTTTTGCAAGTTTGTCCACAGCACCTCGCTTGGGATGAGTGCTCTTTTACATGGTTAGCACAGATCTAAATAAATACAGAAATATAAACCGAGCTGGAAATTTACTGAGTACAAGCTGTCTTGCAAAATTGCCTGTATTTCCTGGCCCTGGATGGGTGGAAATACCACAAAACTAGCTTCTCTCACAGTAACGTGATACTTCTGCTTCCGGGCTCAGCTGAAAGTGGGAGGTGGAAGAGCATTCAAGAAAGGAAAAAGAAGAGTGAAAGCAAATCGTAGTCAAGGTCATTTTTAACATGGCAAAATCAAACTATTAATGAGAAAGATCAAAAAGGAGTGATGGAAAAGGTATCTAACCTGGCTTGGAAGTCTTCATGTGTTGCAGATATCCACAGCATCAATGCCTGTGGTGTGAGCAGCCACATCTTTAGGAGAAGGTGGCTGGGAATTTAGGACATCACACACCTCCTCTCCCCTGATTCAACCTTCAGCACAGCACTTCACCTTCCTCAGGGTGAAATAGGGACATCCATCCAACCTGCCTTTGTCACTGCTCACCCAACAACCTTCAGCAACCTCTCAAAAAAGAGGAGGGAAGGTCTGTGTCCCCAGCACTACCCATATCCTGGCTGTCCCCTCCTGCCTCTGCCAGCAAACGTCCTATTAACAGCATCTTCTCAGAACTGATAGAGACCACAAATGTGCTTTCAGTCAGGCCAGCAAATAACCTTCAGCTAAGTCTGCCCACGGCTCTTTTGGATCTGATGATCTGCATTTAGAAATAGTCTTGGTATTTTTAAATGTTGCCTGAAGCCATTTGGTCCCTTCTTCATTTTATGTTGTAGTTGTCATTTATAACTTATTATACAAGCCATTTAAAAGCCAGACAGACACTGGAGGGGAAGCGAGTGAGTCCTAAGCTGCAACACGCTGAAACCTCTGAAAGTCTTGCCCTGGCTTTCAAGGGACTTGGGGCTGGCACCTCCACCAAGGGAGCTCTGCGGGATCCTGGCTCTGGGACACACCCCGAGCATTCCACGTTTCCCCTGGAGCCAGGGAGTTGCTTTTGACCAGAGCCAGGCAAGCCCCTGACTGGGGCAGGGCAGCTCTCACAGCCCGGGCACAAGGAGGTCAACTGATTTGCTCAGGTCACTAGTGCGTGAGCAAATGACTCATCCCAGATTTTCCTGGCTCCTAAACCTTTGCTCAGACCACAAGGCTTCTTAGTGACTTAGCAGGGCTCTGAGGAAGAAAGCTATAAATTGCAAACACGCTATGGCTAAATGGCTGGTGAGGGTGTTTTCCACGTGCCACTTATGAATCTAGAAGAGCTAACTAGTGCCTGGGAGTTACTGACAGTGTAGGGAAAGCTAGTTGTTTGATGAAGCAATGGCTTCATTAAAAAACAATAAAAACTCCCCATTTGCTTTGCCCCCTGCTCTGGGATAAAATCTTTCCACCTCCAGCCTTTGTGCCTGACTCTGTGCAGGGCCCTGTGCTGTGTGACCCTGAAGGTAAGTTGCCTCTTGTTAGAGCTAGGACTAGTTTGTACTGCCTCAGCTTAAACTACCCCAGGTCACAAAGCCATTGAAAAGCCTCAACTGGGCAGGATGGCCTAAGGGGGG